GAAAATCCATCATCAAAAAGATTTGAAGATGAACAATTGCATTCAAATTAAGTAGCTAACGGATCACTAGGTTCTCTAGTTAATGGACATTATTAACATGCATCTTTCTAAATACTGTTTGCACATAGTATACATGAGTAATGGCATTCTATTATTTATATTTAATTTATTATTACTTGAACATTCTATATTATCTGTTTCATCATCAAAATATGAAGTTTTACATATGCATTCTCCTGAGGAAGTTAAGTATCTATTAGAGCNATGAAATACAAGAATTAAAATCTCCAGAATTACAACTTAAACAAGAATAGTGACATTTTTAACAATTTTCAATTCCAATATCATAATATCCAATATTACAATCACAAGTAAAAAGTTGATCATTATAAATTCTATTTGATTCAATTGAACATAATTCACATTTAGTTTCTATATCATTACATCTCAGACATGAATAATGACATTCTTTAAAATAATAAAAACTATAATTACTTTAACAAACTTCGTTTTATCCATCATCATAATATCTTTAGATACATTGGCATCTATTAAAACCTGAAACAAATTATCTAAAGCTGTTATCTGGACAAGAAACGCAGCTTTCAGATTGTTTTTGGCATCCTTTACATTTATAACTGCATTCTATTTATAAAAATTTATTATTACTTTCACAAACAGGCAATCCTGCATCATAATATCCTTCATTACAAAGACATGTAGTTCCTATTTAATATCTGTGATCTGTATCTATACAATTAATGCAATCTAGTTCTTCAATTCCTCCACATGTTCCACATGAATGATGACATTCTAATGATAATTTAATAATATACTTTAACATTTAACCATTCCATTATAATCAAATGTACTTATTGCAGCTCCATTAAATTTAGTAATACATTTGCATGTACTTCCAACTAAAAATCTATCATTATTGCATGATGTACAATTTTCAAAATTATTAATACATTCATAACAGAATGCACTGCAAACTACTTTTATATTTAATAATTACTAGTGCATTCCTAAACTTCCATTTCAAAGTAATGTATTTAGCATTTGCATTCATTCCCTTTTAATTCCCTATTTGCAACAGAATCACAAGAGAGACAATTATTTTCATTCTAACCATTACAGGATTTGCATTTGAAATGACATTCTTTATTGATATTTAAATCTTACTTTAACAAGCTATTTCATTTTCTTTTTCATAATATTCTCCTAAACAATAACAACCCTTTATAGAATCAAGGACACGTAAAGAATTTAATGGACAACTCAAACATTATTCTGATTGGGTTTCACATGTCTAACATTTATATGAACATTCTAATAAATTATTAGTAATTAGAATAATTACGTTTACACAAAGCTATTCCAGGCTCTTCATAATATCCATCAATGCATTTACAAATATTACCTTTTTAAACTCTCTAATGAAGATCCAAAGAACAAGCAATACAACCTTCTACAGTATTATCAAAACATTAATGACAAGAATAGTGACATTCTATTGATAATTAATTTTTAATTACTTTCACATTATAATTATCCAATATCATAATATCCATTTAAACATACACAAGATGATAAATCTAGTTATCTATAGGTTGAATCACATGTTAGACAATTAGAAGAAAGAGGACCATTGCAAGTTTAACAAGTATAATCACATTATAGACATTCTTGTGAAAATCCATCATCAAAAAGATTTGAAGATGAACAATTGCATTCAAATTAAGTAGCTAACGGATCACTAGGTTCTCTAGTTAATGGACATTATTAACATGCATCTTTCTAAATACTGTTTGCACATAGTATACATGAGTAATGGCATTCTATTATTTATATTTAATTTATTATTACTTGAACATTCTATATTATCTGTTTCATCATCAAAATATGAAGTTTTACATATGCATTCTCCTGAGGAAGTTAAGTATCTATTAGAGCTCTCTAAGCAAAATGTACAATAAGTGGGTCCATATTCGCTACAATTTCCACAAGTATAATAACACCCTAAATAGAATTTATAAAAATACTTGTGCAAATTTCTATATTGCCATCTAAATCACTATAATTCTCTTTGCAATCACAATTGAAATTATCTGATACAACACGATTTTATCCAGGTTTACATGTTAGACAATATTGGTTTGTAGTTTCATCAGCTGCTTAGAAACAAGTATTACATCTTGGATAACATTCTAAATTTAATTAGAAATAAAACTTCCACAGTTAGATTCTTTAATTTTGTAATCAGCATATCCATTTTGACATGGACAAGAATCACCAATTTGTATTCTATTGGAAATACTTTCATCTAAACATTCAATACATTCTAAATATGATGGACCAGAACAAGTAAGACAAGAGTAATCACAGGCTAAAATAAAATATTATAAAGTTTTACCAAGGCATATCTAATCTTCATTTCCAGGATCATATGTACCTGGCTTACAAATGCATTATTTATTCTAAAGTATTCTATTTGACCCTTATTTACATGAAATACATGAATAAAAATCTTATAATTCACATTCTTAACAATAGCCATCAGTACAGAATGGACAATATCCTTCTTTCCAACCACTTTTTGGTATGCATTTGCAGGTACCATAATTATCAAGTATTCTATTTTTACTGATATCACAAGTGGTACAAAAGCTGGGATTAGTATCCAAACAAGTGAAACATTGAAAATCACACTCAAAAAGTTAGCATGTGCCGTCTGGTTGTAATGCTTACTGTGGTTAACAAGCTATGCATTTTCCTGATTTGTCTAAAAGGAAACAACCAGGTATAATATAATTAGTGGCTAGAGAATTTTATAGAATAACTATTACGTATGCATTCTTCACCACCAAATCCAGGTTCACATAAATAGCAAACATTTAATCCCGCACTATTATAAGCCTTTGCAAGACAATTCCAATTATGTTGTTTACATTAGCCCTTATCATCGCCATAATATCCTGGTTTGCATTAAACACAAAAGCAACCAGGACTTCTAGATAAATAATTAGTCTATTTGCAATTTAAAAGTGTACAATCTAATAGCAATATTTTTATTTAATTACATATACATTTTTCTCCTTATAGATCCTTATAATACCCTTCTATGCAATCATTATCAGTAATTATTAGTTTACCATCTTAATCCTCTTCACAATTTACAAAACCTTCACAATCTATAAAATTATAATGTAAACCTTACATCCACTACAATTATTATCCACACCTCTAGGATAATAACCAATTTTACATTTATTGCAAGTCTTATCTTCCTCACATTCCAGACAAGATCCTCCACATGCTTTAATTATTATTATTTATTACATCTAGGAGGATTTGAAAATCTTTAATCCCAACCAGTATTTACATTTTCACAGAGATAGTGTACTCCATATCCATAGTAAGGTGCTTTACAATATTGACAAAATTTAAAATCCGAACTATAAACTATCAAACATCTTTCAAGCGAACCTGTAAAAGCTAATTTATTAATCAACTATAAATACTTTTACAGTAATATTTAAAATGTCCATCAGATAACTGCTCTATTACTAACGAAACACCTAATTCTAATCCGCAGCTAAATTAAAATTCGTCTTTGGTTGGAGTTCCTGCTCCCCACGGTTAGAATCTGGGATGGCATAAATATGAAGTTCCATTTGTTACTGTTTTTAGTATTACTTCTGAAACACCTTAACAAATAGAAGCATAAGCTAGGAATAACATTGATATTTACAAACACAATAATGTGGATGCATATCAGGCACTTATATGTGTAATTCAGGGCAATAATTTTCAATATCTGCAAATAAGGATGCTTCATAATACTATCTCCATCCAAATACTGCTTAGATGAATATCAATCTAATTAACATCATATTCATATTTTATTTTTATAGCATAAATTTATGTAAATCTTAATTTAAATTATAAAAAGGGCGTTTGGTGTTTTAATCCTATATAAATCAAATTCCTTAAATTTGAATAAGTTTTATTCAATTGTAATTCACATTCTTATTGATATATTACATCCTAAAAGCATAGTGATATTAATTTTATGTAGTATAACTATATGAAATTAGCCAAATCAATTAAAATAAATAAATTCAGAACCCTTCTCTTAAGGTGATCCATTTTTTGTCTTAATTTTAATATTAAGATTAGTCGAATCAACATTTTTTGTCAATCTATATTTTTATTAAGATATATGATATAATAATTAATATATATTTTAAATTTTATTAATTACTGTTAAGTATTTTTGAAAAGTGTAAAACTCTCCCACCAATTCACGAAATTCATCATTTATATCTTCAAAAAGTAAATTATACGATTATCATCAGCCAAATCGTAGTCTACCTTGAGCTGGTATTAGATCCTTCATAGATTAACTTATTCAAAATCAGTAAAATATATTAAATGACCATACCATCAAATATTTACAAAAAAATACAATTTTGTTGTCAATATGCATATACTATAGTGAACCAGAATTTGTTTCTTCATTAAAATATAATACATTTAAGATTATACATGTCATTAATCAAGCATGTATAATCTTATATATGCTCTCGAAATTAAATTACAGTAATTCTAGGTGATCTAATCTTTAAATCAGAGTTTAGTCAAAGTATTTCTTTATCAGCTTTCTTTAGATATAAAAAAATGCACAGGTTTAGTAAAGCCTGCCAAAAACAAACATGAAATTTAATAAAAATCATAATTATAGTTTATTTTGTATTAAAAGTAATTATTATTATATAATTCATTTTTTCCTTAAGTAGTCTATTACATTTTTTATTTAATCAATTACCTTTACCAAAAGTTCTTTTATTAAAAAGAGTAGTTACAATCCAATCGATGCATATATACATCCACCAATCACCCATCCTAACCAATAAATTAATTCATCACTAAATAATATAAAATTATCTTGAAATGCTAAAATAATGCTTATTCCTACAACAATTAAAACACTAAGATCAGGTAAATTAGATGATATAAATTCGTATATTTATAATATAATTTAATTGTATTAGGTTTAAAAAATATTATTCTTTACTTTCAAATGGATTTTATAATAGTAATAAGAATATATTCAATACACAAGATAAGAAACATATTGTTGTTTAATATATTGGTACAGAATAAAAGAGTACTGTTGATATAATAAAGATTGTTTTTCTTACTAAATTAATAAATGAATAACTCATAGCCATTCTTTAATCAGTCTTAAGTTATTCATAAAAACAACTATATCTATCATTAAAATATTTATTATTCAATTTATTTTGATGAGTAATTGAAATCTAATAAGTAAAATATAATAGATATCCTAAGATAAATATAGTAAAATAAGCAAAAATGATATTTAATTTGACTATTAAATAATTTGATGTTTATTAATTTGTTATTTATAATGTAATTGCTAATGTTAAATCAAGAAAACTTAATTAAATGGTTTTTAATAAATTGGCTATGAAACATTCATCAAATTAAACGCAATTTTTATAAATAGATTTTAAAATATTAGGTATTTTTATTTATTATTATTATTTTTATTATTATTATTATTATTATTATTATTATTATTATTATTATTATTATTATTATTATTATTATTATTATTATTATTATTATTAATCTATATCTTATTATTATTATTATTAATCTATATCTTATTATTAATATCTTATACATTACTATTATTATTATTGATTATTTAGTTAAAAAAATGAATTTTATAATTTATTTAAATCCAATGAAGTAGTTGATTTTGATGTTTTATAACAATACTCTAAGATCCTTCTAATTGATTTACAAAGTATTTTAGTACCAATAACTTATAATAAAAATATAAGAATAGTTTGAATATTATTAAAAAATAATGGATCTATTCCCTTTTCATAAAACTTGATAGGTGATTAGAAATAATAAGGATCATTATGATTATTAAATGTATTGACTTATGGAAATTCTAAGATATTGTCCCATTAAGCTTATATAAATATTTATCTAACATTTTCAGGATATGTGACATTCAAGAAATAAAAATTGTTCATCCAACTCAAAATATCTAAAATTGCCCAAACAAATTTAAATCCTCCAATTAACATAGCAAGTGGTCCTAAAACAAGTAAAGATTATGAGACTGTCTTTGATGTTTAAGCCATTTTTTCTCCTTATTCTTTTTATTCTTCACTTACATAAACCTATCTCTAAGGAATTATTATAACTTCTTTAACTGATTCCTCATCTAACATTCTTTTTTTATATTACCCTTTATATTTAATAATAATATGAATAACATTAAAGGATTCAACATTTTAGAAATATTTAATATCTAGATCACATTTAAGATCTGATTCGACAATAGTATAATTATAATCAGTAGAATTAAATCTATCAATATGAAGAGTAGTTCCTGAACAATTTATTGCTTGTTATTATGTATCAGCAATAATTGAATACTAATTATTATTAGAAGATTAAAATTGAACTTCTACATTTGGTTCAATAATCAATTAATTATTAGTACGATCAAATAAGTATCCAAGTTCTATTTAGCATTTACTATTGCATCCATCAAAATCATCAAGATTACGATCATCACAATTCTCAGATCCTGAAATGATTCCATCTCCACATTAAGAGATACAATCTCTAAGTTAATAATCATAATAGAATCCTAATGTTGAATTACATTCTTTGACTTGATAGTAATTGTAATTGTAATTAATACAATTCTTCGAGGAATTGATACAATCAATACAGATTTTATCACAAATAGAGCAGGAATAGTATTTATCAACAAAATAACCTGTTTGACATTATTTACATTATTATAAACCATCAATAATTACACAATTTTAACAATTAAAATCTTTGCATTATTCACAATGATTAAAGATAAGATTATCATGAAAACAAATATATCCCACTTCTAATTAACAATTCGTACATCCATCTCTAGAAATTAGATTTTAATCATCACATTCTTCTTTAAGAATATCTAAAATTCCATCTCCACAAGTATTAACACAATTGTTATTGATTAAGTTGTAACCATAATTACAAGATTTACAAACTCCTAATTGGCATTCTGCACATTAAACATTACAATCAAATTTACATAAATAACATCCATCAAATTAAATGTTATTGCCATCATCACATTATTCTCCTTTCACAAGAAGACCATCCCCACAAATAGATTAACATAATTTACTAAAATTAGCTTCCCAACCAGATTCACATTGACATTAATAACATCCATCTAATTCATTAAGATTACCATCATCGCATTATTCTTAACCAACTTTAATATTATCTCCACATTAAGTATCCTAACATATTTGATCATCATCTTTGTAATAACCACCCTAGCATTATTAACATTACCCCTTTATACAAATATTACAATTTAAACATTCTAAAATACAAAGATTACATCCATCATATTAAATTAGATTAGCATCATCACATTCTTCATCAATTGTTGTGTAACCATCTCCACAAATACTCTAACATTATTTATCTATCATAATATATCCTTTAACACATTCACAATTGTAACATCCATTCAATTAGATATCCAATTATCCATTATCACATTATTCATTCTATTACACATATCCATTTCCACAAACAGAAACACATTAACCATCAACTAAACTCCAGAATTCCTTACATTCTAAACATAAACCTAATGCACAAGTTTAACACTCATCAGGACAAGAATACTAACAAATATAACAACCATCAAATGGTAATATATTTCCATCTTCACATTATTCAGAGAATGGATCAACCAAATAATCTCCACAAATTGATTATGAAATGATTAATGATACTTATTATTATTATTCTAATATTTCATTATGTTGAATATCAAAACATGGATATATTTATGTTTCATTAAATAAGCATTCTGGATAACATTACATTAAAATATTTATATATCCTTCTTAACATAATTAGCATATTCCTTTAATACATAAAGTGCATTCCATTTGGCACTCATATTTACACTGATTACATCCATCAAAAGGATATAAGTTACCATCATCGCATTCTTCCAATTCCACTATAAGATCATCTCCACATATTGGCTAACAAGTTTTTGTAAGTTAATCCTCGTAATAACCAGCTTTACAAACACACATAGATGAAATTATAGTTCTGTATTGAGTTTCATCACATATACATTATCCACGTTTTAGTGAGAATCTATCTAAACAAATTTTACATTAAGTTGCAGTTGCACATTAATTACAATAATTCAAAGTGCAATCAGAACATATGTAATTTGATGTAGCAGTATCATAATTCCAAAAGCTAGGTGAATAACAAACTTAAGGATTGCTGCTTGAAGTACAAACATCAAGACTAGTACAAGCAGAGCATCCAGTTACACATTAATGAATTACTATGAAATATTCTGATATTGCACAAAATCCTTCTCTTAAATCTTATTCTGAGACACATTCAAATTCTATCTTGAATTGAGTCATTGTGTGTTAGTAATATTAATATATAAACATTACACTTTCTTTACTTTCCTTACCAATTAAGTTTATATCATCACTTGATTTTAATCTAACAATAGTCTTTTATTAAATAGAATCTAAATAATAGTTAAATACTCCATCGAAATCATCTCCAAATGTAATATTAAATCTAATAGATATGGCATAATGAGGATTCGTAATTGTATATAATTTAGTGTATTTGGCATTATTCCAAACTAAAAGACCTCCCAAAACAAATTTATCTTATATCATAGAGAAACTTTAGCCTGTTAAGAAATTACTTCCATCATTAAGAACTGAATCAAAATGAGATTATATATCATCAAATTTCATATTGGTATCATAAAATGCTTTTACTAGATATTATGAAACTATTATATTAAATTATTTAATTACATGGTATTTCATCTACATAATCTATACAATCATTTGAATATATTGGACATTTATTTACACATTCATTGCCCAAAATAAAATATCCTTAATTACAAAGTTAACATGTATTTTCATCCAAACAAACTTAACAATTTAATTAACAAACTCCATAATCAATGGTTATATTACTAAATCCCCATTAACTAGATGTTGTCATTGTACCTTTAAATTATAAAACTGGATTATTTGTTTTTGGATACATTATTAATTCAAATCTTGAATATTAATCTCCATATAATAGTAAACACCTATCTATATTCTCAAAATCAATATCATTAAATATACAATAATTTGTATAAATAAAAGAATTATCAATATCAAGAAGGATTGAAAATTCTAAAGAGTTATCTAGATATATCTCAAATAATGAATCACTATGAAAATTAAGCAAATAAACAGTAATTCTTAGTCGAATATAGGATAGTACATTAAAAGTACCTAATGGCAATAAAACAGTTTATGACCCAAAGGGTCCAGCTATATTTCTATTATTGGTAGAGTTAAAACAATATTAGGAAAAAGCTTAAATGCTTAAAGATGATTAAGGAATTTCTGGAATCTTAGATTAGCTTTGTAAAGGATTCATAAAATTGAATTTAGATGAAACTCTAAGATCTTTTTAGCAGATCATATTCTAATCAGCTAAGTAATAATCTCTTGAGCATTCTTTAATACAACCATATCCCTCCTAATAGTAATTTGCAAAATAATAAAAATTTGTACTAATGATAGGGCAAACACAATTATGAGTTGTAGTATCTATGTCAAAGCAACTAATGCAAGTATATGGATCATTTTCAGAACATGTCTTACAGAAAGAACTGCAAAAAAATCCATATACATAAAAGTTTCTAATTCTTATTTTATTACCATTTGAAAAAGGTGTGAATTGAACAGAGATTGAAAAATTTTTTTGAGAAACTGTTAATTTTGTAGTAACAATTTTTTAAAATTCAAATGGATATTCTAAGACATCATTTCTACAAATTCTGCTCTGTTTTAGTAATTAGTTTCCTTATTTTTCTATTTTCATTAGTAGTGTTGATTTATCAGATATTCCATCATTCTAAATAACATTAACAGAAACAGTTGATAATGAAGAATCTAAAACAGGAAAATCAAATAATATATCGAAAATAACTTAGACTTTCTAAACTTAAATTGGAATGGACTTCAAAATTAAATCATTAGAATTATCAAGGACTATTTATTATTCTCCATTAGTATTGCAAGTTCCTATTTCAACATTATTAAAATTCCATCCATCTTCATTTAAAGTTAGAGTTTGATTTAATAAACTGGAATCGATAAGTTTCCATTGAGCTAGTGCACATGACATCATCAACAATAACATTACAAACATTGAATTATAAATATTGAATATCTCATATAAAATATCTTATTACTATTTAAAGATTATGTGCATGATGTCATTGTCTCTAATTAATCGTAATATAAGAAATAATTGTTAATTTTATAAATTGACGTATTCTTTTATTGATAATTAACAATGTTTATTTACATTTAATTAATTATATAAAATTCAAAATTTATAAGGTGGACTTTTCTTAAATAAATTATTAATTAGATAATTGATTTCATTTAACACAAAAACAAAGAGATCTTCTAAAAAGTTATAACATATAAAAATTATGAGATTTAATAAAATTAACAATGCAATTATAATAACTATAAATATAAGAATACAACAATTAAGGGTAGAGATAATCTTCTTTTGAATTATGAATTTAGCCAATTTTTTATAAATAGTCAGCAATTATTATTTATTCATAAGTCTATTTATAGAAGAAATTATCAAGTTTAGTAATAGAAAATGAATGAAAATTTGATTAAACTATAAACCTTTATAATTAAATAATTTATAAATAATGATAGATATATGATGACATAAATTTTCATAAAAATCAGGCAGTTAGCCTATAATAAGTAGATTGAGTTATTAATATCGAATTATTCTGGAACTTAGATACTAAATTAATAGCCATTTAGAATTGATGAAGCTTGTAAAAAAATGAAAATGAAATATATATTCAAATATCATCACATCCATCCATATCAAATTGATAAAGAGAACTTTGCATATTAATCCCTTAATGTGAGATTTTGTGAAGAAGGAGAATACAATTTAATTAAAACAGAAAATTGATTGTAACAATAATAGTTATTAATAATTATGTATGTTGTCATAAATAGAAAGTAATAATAATAAATTAAATAAAATAATGGAGCTTTTTTCCTTATTCTAATAATTATGGAAGTCAACTGACCAAAGGAATTTTAGGATTCAAGTTATTTTATAAATAAGATATATTATTAAAAATATATTATTCATACATTATCATTGTTCCTTATAAAATGGTGTAAAATTTTTTGATATCTACAAATATTTTTATTGAAAATTTATGCTAAAATAAACTCGAAGCTTAGAAAAATGAATTAATGTAGAAAACTTTTCTTAAACTAGAATTGAAGATTTTGAAAAGAATTATTACATTACCCATTAAATATGAAGAACTCATATTTAAATTAATAAATTTTTAATAAATTACAACTTGGAAGGTACATTGGTATTGGGAAATTAAATTTAATCCTCAAATAAGTTATGTTTAATCTTTCTTCAGAGTACTAACTTTTATTATTTTTTCAAATAAAAAGATAGGATAGTTTAATTAAAATAACTTTAAGGAAAAAGATATCAACTGAAACTGGGACCTGTAACTTATAAAAGGAAAGAAATTCACATAGCTTAAATAACTTATTAGACAACCAAGACTCGATTTAATCATAAATAAATTATATGAAATAAATAATTCTGATTAGAAAACAATATATTGTAGTATAATTTTAATGCGCTTATCTATTACTTTAAAGATAAAACATCTTTTATATATTTGGTCTAAAATTATTTTCCAACAACTTTTTCTAGTGGTTTTTCACTTTTTTATTTTAAAAATAATATTATTCTAATTGAATTGAAAAATATTTATAAAATAAGCAAAATATTATAATTAATAAACAATTTGAAATATCATATTATTANTTTATAATTAAATAATTTATAAATAATGATAGATATATGATGACATAAATTTTCATAAAAATCAGGCAGTTAGCCTATAATAAGTAGATTGAGTTATTAATATCGAATTATTCTGGAACTTAGATACTAAATTAATAGCCATTTAGAATTGATGAAGCTTGTAAAAAAATGAAAATGAAATATATATTCAAATATCATCACATCCATCCATATCAAATTGATAAAGAGAACTTTGCATATTAATCCCTTAATGTGAGATTTTGTGAAGAAGGAGAATACAATTTAATTAAAACAGAAAATTGATTGTAACAATAATAGTTATTAATAATTATGTATGTTGTCATAAATAGAAAGTAATAATAATAAATTAAATAAAATAATGGAGCTTTTTTCCTTATTCTAATAATTATGGAAGTCAACTGACCAAAGGAATTTTAGGATTCAAGTTATTTTATAAATAAGATATATTATTAAAAATATATTATTCATACATTATCATTGTTCCTTATAAAATGGTGTAAAATTTTTTGATATCTACAAATATTTTTATTGAAAATTTATGCTAAAATAAACTCGAAGCTTAGAAAAATGAATTAATGTAGAAAACTTTTCTTAAACTAGAATTGAAGATTTTGAAAAGAATTATTACATTACCCATTAAATATGAAGAACTCATATTTAAATTAATAAATTTTTAATAAATTACAACTTGGAAGGTACATTGGTATTGGGAAATTAAATTTAATCCTCAAATAAGTTATGTTTAATCTTTCTTCAGAGTACTAACTTTTATTATTTTTTCAAATAAAAAGATAGGATAGTTTAATTAAAATAACTTTAAGGAAAAAGATATCAACTGAAACTGGGACCTGTAACTTATAAAAGGAAAGAAATTCACATAGCTTAAATAACTTATTAGACAACCAAGACTCGATTTAATCATAAATAAATTATATGAAATAAATAATTCTGATTAGAAAACAATATATTGTAGTATAATTTTAATGCGCTTATCTATTACTTTAAAGATAAAACATCTTTTATATATTTGGTCTAAAATTATTTTCCAACAACTTTTTCTAGTGGTTTTTCACTTTTTTATTTTAAAAATAATATTATTCTAATTGAATTGAAAAATATTTATAAAATAAGCAAAATATTATAATTAATAAACAATTTGAAATATCATATTATTATAATTGTTTTCAAGTTATTTCTCTTCTAATATTATCAATTTACTATAAACACATAAATATAAAAATCATAAATCTTCATTTATTTTAAGCTTTTAATTCCTCAAATAATTCATAAATGTAATTTTTTCCATAAATCTTCCATTTTCTTTTTAAAATTCTTAATTTTTCCTCCACAACTAATTATTTTTCTGTATTCTTCATCTTTTATTTAAAAGTTCAATTCAATTTATTTTATGCTGATCTTTTGCAAAGATGTTTTTTCAATTTAAGACTTCGCTTTATTATATTAAATTATATGTTTCTTTCTATTCCATAAAGCAAATTAAAACTATTTTAGCATAGTCAATATCATTATTATGAATAAGCACCTTTATTTTATGATATAGGACAATTTTTTTTCATCTATTTTAGACTAATTTATCTATGGTTTTTTAAAAAAATAATTTAATCATATAGTTAGAAAAAGGAAATTAAAACATTTTTATAATTAAAATTTAAACAAGCAAATATTAATTGATTGTATTTTTTATGTTTAAGGTTCCTTATAATATCCTAAGCATCTATTCTCACTTTCTATCTTAGGCATTATTATGAAAATAAAAATTAAGTATATTGTGATAAATAAATAAATTTCTAAATTCAAGACAAAAAAATGCAGTCTTCTTTATAAAAACTTTTCTGATAGATTATAAAAACAAAAATATTTATCACCTCCATTAACCTCTACTCCTTGCCTTTCAGCTTAAACAATTTTTTAGAAGTGAATTAAATTAGGGATCTCATTTATTTTCTTTTTTCTTATAAACATATCATGTGGTACTATTCCTTTTTAAATTCTTTGTAAGCATTATTTTTCACTGATCTAACATTCTAATTTAAAATATTTAATCGCTTATCTTTTAAGTTGTTCCCTTTCACTTAATATCGTTCATTTTTTAATAAACTACCTTTATTCAAAAACATTTTTAGTTTCCTATGACTTAAACCTACTACAAAATAAATAAATTATGGTGGTCAACATGTGACTAAGGATGGAAAACAGACATGGGCCTGGATATTTAACAAAGGGGATGATTGAAATAATATTTTTTAGATTTATGTTCCCCATTTCTTATGATAGTTCATCCAATCAACAATGGAACTACAATATGACTGTTTATACAATGTGAAAAAAATTTTCTGGAGTTGGAAATTAGCCTCTAGAACATTATTGCAGAGTAAGTGGGAGCCTCACATTTAAAGATATAGTATCGAGTCCACAAATATGAATAGAACATAAAAATTATCATTTTTATTATTATATTCTATTTAATATGTAATTATAATAAGTATTGAATCTCTACTTCGATATTTTAAAGAGCATTCATTACTGCTGATCTTTAACAATTTATTCTATTAATACATTTTAATTTTAAGCTTATAAATTTTTAAATAGCAACTTTGACAAATAATATCCACCAAAGATTAATCCATATTACATAGATTCGAAAAATTATGTGACTAAATTTTCTGAAAATCAGAAATCATTATGAATTATTTATTTTTTTTTATTCATTTTACTGCAATATCAAAAATTAAATTAATAACAAATCTATTCCAGCCAATCAAATTAACATAATAAGTAGAATATTTATTATAAATTTACAATTTAAAAATCTCAATTCGAATAATTTATAAATTGAAGAATTTAAATTTTTAGAATTGAATAAAATTATAAATATACTTTAAAGTTTATGTATTAAATTTTTGTATATCATAAACTTTTTGTAAAAAATAAACCATATTTCTGTGTATGTAATAATTAAGAATAATAGAACTATATTTTTGGCATATAAAAATTATATCATGTTACTTCTAAGCCCTAAAATTCTTATGTAAGGTCATGAACAAAAAACACGAGGTAGCCTTAATAGATAGTTACAATATTTTCATTTTTGGCTGTGTTTGCTATTACCTGTCAACTCTGGAGCCCTTTATTGTTGTTGAATTCTAAATTAAGTTGGGCTATTCTTATTGTCTCTTCAGAAAGAATAAAGATTATTACAATTAATTTAGGCTTGAATTTTTCTAAACAATTTCAACAATAATTAAACAATATACACAACCATTCTGAATTATTTCTATCAACTGGTAAAGATTCATATGAAAAATCAGAAATAGCTCATGATTATTTTTTCAAGAATCAACCACATAAAAAACTTAAATACTTTGTTGAGAATTTAAGCATAAGGTCCTATTAAAACATATTTCCAATGAAATTAATTTAATTATTGATTGGAATTATTATTATGCATTTATCATGGTGCTTTTGATATTATCTTTTTAGTGATGCAAATAGCTTGATTTATTTCAAACCCAATCTCCTTAATCTCAAACATCTCCTAATTATAATTGTAATAATTATATTAAAAAATACAAATTCATAAAAGGAGTTCAATTTCGAAGTATTAATTTTGGACATCTTCTGAAATTGAATCGATCACTTAAATTAACAGAAACTCTTTGATACTGGTTATTGATTAAGGATGATATGATATTAATAATATTATTCATTATAGATATTTAAAGAATGTGCTAAATGGAGAAAGATTTACTATTTACAGACTACATTAAAAAAGTTTTAAATAAATATTTATACTTTTTTTATAGAAGAAGATTTTTATAATATCTAAATTTAAATGAACAGGTGATGAATTTAAAAATAAATCAGATTTAGTTGTTGTACAATAGCTAAATAATTTGCATCCATTTGGAGATTACAGAATTTATATATTAGAAGTTGGAGGATTGACCTAGGGATGAATACTAAAATTCAGTAAGTGATGAAATTTGGCATATAAAATCAACTTCATAGAATATAAATAAATTATAAAATTCATTTTTTTAACTAAATAATCAATAATAATAATAATAATAATAAGATATAGATTAATAATAATAATAATAATAATAATAATAATAATAATAATAATAATAAATAAAAATACCTAATATTTTAAAATCTATTTATAAAAATTGTGTTTAATTTGATGAATGTTTCATGGCCAATTTATTAAAAACAATTTAATTAAGTTTTCTTGATTTAACATTAGCAATTACATTATAAATAACAAATTAATAAACATCAAATTATTTAATAGTCAAATTAAATATCATTTTTGCTTATTTTACTATATTTATCTTAGGATATCTATTATATTTTACTTATTAGATTTCAATCAATTTATGATCCAATCAATTAATCAAGCAGATTTCTTTAAAATTTTGGCTTATAAAAATTGTAAATTTAAAATCAGATGATAATTAAAACTAAAACAAAATATCTTTTCTATCCACATCAAAGAAATTTTAATCACAAAATATTCTTCAGACCAATTACACATGATATTATTTTCCTGAGTTTCTAAAAATAAAAGCGAATATCTATTAACCAAAATTTTATTACTCAAAAACACTAATAAACAAGATCTTATTATGCCTAAATAATACTTTTTTATTTTATCACCATCATATCGTCAGTTTAAATTGTGATTAAAAAATGTATATTGTATGATTTCGCCTAATTTTCTTTTTCGTATGTCAATTTATCAATTATTCTTTAGAACATTAATCAATAATTAAATTATATTAAAAATAAAATATACGCTTAAGTTTGAACCTATTGAGAGTATTTTTTACTGTTTACTCTCTTTTGTAACATCATTTTTCAATTTTTGATGTAGATGCTCCAAATATATATATGTAACCAAATGTAGTTTATTGTATTACAAAAATAGTATAATAAAAAGAGGTCAAAAATAATCTATTTTATCATGAAAGAAAAACATAAATTAATTGTTTTGATCTAATTATGAAGATTAAAAATTAACGAAAAAAAAATCGAAATTAAGTCCTTGAATCTATGTATGTGTCAATTAATTTAATGTGCTGATATAAACTGATTTAAATTTTGAATAGAATCAATTTTGTCAAAGATTAAAAATTTTTGAAAATTTAATAGTTGATTTCTGAATTTGAAAAATGAATATTTATTCAGTTACCAAATAATACTCAAATAAAAATTAAAAGACCAAACTTCTATTTTTAATTAATCTTTTTTAAGTTCCAGAAAAAGAATCCTTAAATAATTTTTATCTTAAGAATGTTTTTATGGCCAATCAGGTTATTACTAATATCAACAGTCATTGGATTTAGACTCTATAATTTTTATAAATATTTCACTAGTTAATATGGATATGAATAAGAACTTTGTCCTGATTTGCATACGCATGTNAATAATAATAATAATAATAATAATAATAATAATAATAATAATAATAATAATAATAAAAATAATAATAATAAATAAAAATACCTAATATTTTAAAATCTATTTATAAAAATTGTGTTTAATTTGATGAATGTTTCATGGCCAATTTATTAAAAACAATTTAATTAAGTTTTCTTGATTTAACATTAGCAATTACATTATAAATAACAAATTAATAAACATCAAATTATTTAATAGTCAAATTAAATATCATTTTTGCTTATTTTACTATATTTATCTTAGGATATCTATTATATTTTACTTATTAGATTTCAATCAATTTATGATCCAATCAATTAATCAAGCAGATTTCTTTAAAATTTTGGCTTATAAAAATTGTAAATTTAAAATCAGATGATAATTAAAACTAAAACAAAATATCTTTTCTATCCACATCAAAGAAATTTTAATCACAAAATATTCTTCAGACCAATTACACATGATATTATTTTCCTGAGTTTCTAAAAATAAAAGCGAATATCTATTAACCAAAATTTTATTACTCAAAAACACTAATAAACAAGATCTTATTATGCCTAAATAATACTTTTTTATTTTATCACCATCATATCGTCAGTTTAAATTGTGATTAAAAAATGTATATTGTATGATTTCGCCTAATTTTCTTTTTCGTATGTCAATTTATCAATTATTCTTTAGAACATTAATCAATAATTAAATTATATTAAAAATAAAATATACGCTTAAGTTTGAACCTATTGAGAGTATTTTTTACTGTTTACTCTCTTTTGTAACATCATTTTTCAATTTTTGATGTAGATGCTCCAAATATATATATGTAACCAAATGTAGTTTATTGTATTACAAAAATAGTATAATAAAAAGAGGTCAAAAATAATCTATTTTATCATGAAAGAAAAACATAAATTAATTGTTTTGATCTAATTATGAAGATTAAAAATTAACGAAAAAAAAATCGAAATTAAGTCCTTGAATCTATGTATGTGTCAATTAATTTAATGTGCTGATATAAACTGATTTAAATTTTGAATAGAATCAATTTTGTCAAAGATTAAAAATTTTTGAAAATTTAATAGTTGATTTCTGAATTTGAAAAATGAATATTTATTCAGTTACCAAATAATACTCAAATAAAAATTAAAAGACCAAACTTCTATTTTTAATTAATCTTTTTTAAGTTCCAGAAAAAGAATCCTTAAATAATTTTTATCTTAAGAATGTTTTTATGGCCAATCAGGTTATTACTAATATCAACAGTCATTGGATTTAGACTCTATAATTTTTATAAATATTTCACTAGTTAATATGGATATGAATAAGAACTTTGTCCTGATTTGCATACGCATGTATTCGATATGCATCCACATAAATGTGTCTGTAAAATTATAAAAGTAATTTAGCATATGCTTCAATTTGTCAAGGCGTGACTGAAATAGAAGTAAAAATCGCAGTAAATGGCTCTTAATATTTATGCCATCCAAGATTTTAACCTTGGGGAGCAGGATCCCCATAAAAAGACTTATATGCTATTCATTGTGGATATGATGGTGGTGATTAGTTGGTTATGGAAATGTTATCTGATGGACATTATAAATATTATTGTAAATGTAAGAATACTTGTTTAATTGATTAGCATTCACTGATGATATCAATAGAAGATGTTTGATTACTGCTCTTTAGTAAGGTTTATATAGATGTCAATTTTGTAAGTATCCTTTCCTAGGTTATTTATGCAAATTTAAGGATTCGACTGATTTTGATGAAAGATATACAAATCCTCCTATATGTAAAAAATCTATTAATTTAAGTGTGCAAAGCTATATATTGTGCAGAATGTGATTAACTTGAAGCTTGTTCTAAATGTCCTTATGGTTACTCATTAATTGGTGCTCATTGCTCTTGTAAGGACTTGCTTTTTAATATTTTAGTTTGCGATGGATTTACATCATGTATATGGAATGGCACTCACAATATTTATAATTAAGAATGCATAGATGGATTTAGTTTACGTGATAATAAATGCATGTGTACTTATGAAAAATATACTCTAGATTGTATGTAATGTAAAAGTTGCGTGAATACAAGTTGTGATTCTTGTTACAACTATTAATTTAGAGTCCTTAAATATTGGGGCAGCTAAGAAGAATATGCTTGTGCTTATGACGTCAGCAGCGCTTGTGATTTTAGTAGATAATCAATAAGTGAACCCTATCTACCAATCAACACTATTAATACAGAATTAAAATATTACAATATAACATGCAGTCTATGTGACCCTGGATATTTTCCTGTCAGTAATGGATGTGAATGTAAGAATTAATTATCAATTATTTAGTAGTTTCAGCCAAATTTAAAAACTGTTTTATGTTAAATTTAAATGGAGATACTTGTTAAGCTTGTCTTAAATAATATGCATTACATTCAGATGGTACATGTTAACTCATGTAATTGGGTGGAAGTTCAAATTGCCAAACCTTTTTGGATATAAATCCATAATTTTGTACTACCTGTGATGCTACAAAAATACTAATTTAAGAGAGTGGTATTTGCATTTGTAAGCCTACATATGGCTTTTAAGTTGATATTTGCATTCCTTGTACAGATGGTTTTTGTTAAGAATGTGACCAATCCGACTTTTATTCATGTATTTCATGTAAACCAGGATCTAATAGAATTTTAATGGACTAGAGATGCATTTGTTAACCTGGCTCATACGATCCTGAGAATGAAGATTAGATTTGCATCAGTAAATAAATAAATAAAATTTAAGTTTGTGATTAATCTTGTCCTACTTGTTTTGGCCCATCAAATTAAGAATGTATTGAATGTTTAGATGAAAGTATTTCCAATAGAATACAAATTGGTGATTCTTGTCCATGTAAAACTGGATATGCTGAATACGAAATAATAGAATCTAAATGTGGAAGTATTAGTTCTAATTAAATTTAGAATGTCATCCAAGATGTAATACTTGTTTCTAAGCAGCTGATGAAACTACAAACCAATATTGTCTAACATGTAAACCTGGATAAAATCGTGTTGTATCAGATAATTTCAATTGTAATTGCTTGGAAAATTATGGAGATTATTATGGCACTAAAGATGTTTGTTTCGGTACTTTTAATTAATAATTAATAGTTTGTGATTATACTTGTGGAACTTGTGATGATTTTGGTCCAACACATTGTATTGAATGTTTAGAAAGCTCTAATAGATACTTAACTTCCTCAGGAGAATGCATATGTAAAACTTCATATTTTGATGATGAAACAGATAATATAGAATGTTCAAGTAATAATAAATTAAATATAAATAATAGAATGCCATTACTCATGTATACTATGTGCAAACAGTATTTAGAAAGATGCATGTTAATAATGTCCATTAACTAGAGAACCTAGTGATCCGTTAGCTACTTAATTTGAATGCAATTGTTCATCTTCAAATCTTTTTGATGATGGATTTTCACAAGAATGTCTATAATGTGATTATACTTGTTAAACTTGCAATGGTCCTCTTTCTTCTAATTGTCTAACATGTGATTCAACCTATAGATAACTAGATTTATCATCTTGTGTATGTTTAAATGGATATTATGATATTGGATAATTATAATGTGAAAGTAATTAAAAATTAATTATCAATAGAATGTCACTATTCTTGTCATTAATGTTTTGATAATACTGTAGAAGGTTGTATTGCTTGTTCTTTGGATCTTCATTAGAGAGTTTAAAAAGGTAATATTTGTAAATGCATTGATGGATATTATGAAGAGCCTGGAATAGCTTTGTGTAAACGTAATTATTCTAATTACTAATAATTTATTAGAATGTTCATATAAATGTTAGACATGTGAAACCCAATCAGAATAATGTTTGAGTTGTCCATTAAATTCTTTACGTGTCCTTGATTCTATAAAGGGTTGTTATTGTTTAGGAGAATATTATGAAAAAGAAAATGAAATAGCTTGTTAAAGTAAGATTTAAATATCAATAAAGAATGTCATTTCAAATGCAAATCCTGTAATGGTTAGAATGAAAATAATTGTCTCTCTTGTGATTCTGTTGCAAATAGGGAATTAAAAGGGAATGAATGCAAATGCTAAATACATTACTTTGAAATGGAAGTTTAGGAATGCACTAGTAATTATTAAATATAAAAGTAGTTTGCAGTGCATTCTGTTATGAATGTATTAATAATTTTGAAAATTGTACATCATGCAATAATGATAGATTTTTAGTTGGAAGTACATGCAAATGTATTACTAAATTTAATGGAGCTGCAATAAGTACATTTGATTATAATGGAATGGTTAAATGTTAAAGTATATTATTAAATTATCATTAGAATGTCATCATTCATGTGGAACATGTGGAGGAATTGAAGAACTAGATTGCATTAATTGTATAGATACAGATCACAGATATTAAATAGGAACTACATGTCTTTGTAATGAAGGATATTATGATGCAGGATTGCCTGTTTGTGAAAGTAATAATAAATTTTTATAAATAGAATGCAGTTATAAATGTAAAGGATGCCAAAAACAATCTGAAAGCTGCGTTTCTTGTCCAGATAACAGCTTTAGATAATTTGTTTCAGGTTTTAATAGATGCCAATGTATCTAAAGATATTATGATGATGGATAAAACGAAGTTTGTTAAAGTAATTATAGTTTTTATTATTTTAAAGAATGTCATTATTCATGTCTGAGATGTAATGATATAGAAACTAAATGTGAATTATGTTCAATTGAATCAAATAGAATTTATAATGATCAACTTTTTACTTGTGATTGTAATATTGGATATTATGATATTGGAATTGAAAATTGTTAAAAATGTCACTATTCTTGTTTAAGTTGTAATTCTGGAGATTTTAATTCTTGTATTTCATGTGTACCTATGAATAATTCAAATAGAGTACTNTGTAAAACCCTCTTATTTTGGATATGAAACAATTATAATTGGTGTTACTGTTGGTAATTTAGACTTATCTACTTCAAAAGATAATATTAAATACTAGATTTAATTATTCGAAATAGAAAGATCTCCTATAAAATCAATTTCTTCATAATTAAATATATCAATTGAATCTTTTTCTTTTGAATATTTCAATACAAACATTTCATAATACACTCTAAGTCCAAATTCTACTTATACATTTTAAGTAATTGCTACAAATTTATATACTCAGAAAGTTTAAAATTAAAACTTCAGTTTTTATGTTCCATTTGCTGGATTGATTTGTTAATTTAATAATTAAGGAATATAGAGTATAAGATAAGATCTAAATCTATAAATCTATTGTAGAGATTTAGATACAAATTATGAATGGAATAATGATCTTGATTTATATATTGAAGTAGATTGTAAGGATTTAACATTAAATAGAACTTGCTAAAATGAATAAAAATAAACAATTAAAGTTAATAAAACAAATACTTTTTAATTTATCAGAAAGAATACTATCTCCTCATTTACAGTATAAGAATGGACTGTTAATGTGACAAAATTTCATTAAACTTCAAAATTTACTTAAATAATTGTTTATCTTGACAATGATTTCCCTGTTTTAGATCTAGAATTCAATTAAGGTTATTTAATCAGAAAAATTAATAATTATGAATAACTCAATTTTACATTTCTTATCCCTTTATATTAAAAAGCTTAATTATTAGATTTATCAATAGCAATAATATATAATTATCAAGTAATATAAATACTGTAGCCTAAATATATTTCTCATTAATTCAAGATATTTAATACTATTAAAGAATTAAATTTTGGGGATGATGTCAATCTAAAATTTGCAGCTTAATATACAAATAATATCATGCCAAGCTTAAATAATATAAAACTATCTATAAATTAACCTCCTTAATGTTCAAAATTATTTATTACTCGTTCAAGTGACTTAGCACTCAATGATATCTAAGTTACAACAATATGTTAGCAATCAAATGATTTTCCTTACAGATATTAACTTAAATTATTTTTGAGAGAATCAGATTTGATTTGGTTTTTGCAAGGCTAATCAGACTATTCTTTAATTTATTATCCATTTTAGAATTAAAATTATTTCTCATTTAAGATTTCTACATCAGTTGACTTTTCGGCAGTAGGAGTCCTTATTTAAGTACTTGATGGTGGAGGATCGATATCTAATGTTTTTGAAAAGATTACTTAGAAATCTGCTAATATTAATTGTACTTCAATTTAATATTAGAATTATACCTTATAAAATAAGATATCATTATTATTTGAAGCAATGAATCAGAATTGTGATCAATTACATAGAAGAATTTATCATGATTTGCTCTATTAATCAATTTTGCCAGATTCAAATGATAATAACCTTAAATTTTAGGCTATAAAATTATATAATAAGTTTTTAAATAAATCTGTATCAATCAAACCTTAAAATCGGTTATTAAATGAAGAATCTCTATAAATGTGCTATGATCAATATACAACATACTTTTATGTTACAAACCCTCCCACTGAAATTTAGATAAATTTAACATAAAAACTAGAAGGCTTAAAAGAAAATATTGTTAAATTGGATGCGGCTTTAATATATTTAAATTAACTAAAGCAGCAATGTGAAGAGGAACTTCATCGAAATATATTTGTTTGGAATGAAGAGATCTTTTAATAGTATGAAAACTCTTAAGATGGTTTAATTAATCTGTTATACTTTGTTGATGATATATATTCAGATTTCTCAACAGTTGATATAAAAAATGAAACAACTTATCAAATGATAGTTGGATTATTAAAATATATTCCTATGATAATAGAGATCACATAAAATACAATTCTTGTAAACGATAAGCCTATTGTCATTTAAGGAGACTAGATTCTTTAGTAGATTAAAAGAAGAACAAAATAATTCTTCAATTAATAATTTAATATTGATGCTACATAAGAAGATTATCTAATAGATTTTATTTAATACGAATCAACATATCTTTTATCAAATCCTTTAAGATTTTCTGCAGATTTTGATAATCTTCTATAAAAAGAATTAAATGATGAAAGCTTGAAAATTTACTCTAAATATTATTACTAAATAAAATTAAAAAATGTATACAAAAACAGGTTTATTGAATTTGAAGATTTTCCTTCTAAATACAGTACAAAGTTTGGAAACTATTAAATATGCACCAATGATACTTAAATATTAAAAGTATATGAAATATAGTGTTTACTAAAAACACTTTCTGGAAAAATCCATAAGTGCAAAGTAAATAGGATATTAAATAATGATACAATGGAGCAAAGTTGCGAATGTTATGAATTTGGAGATATTTTTCTTACAACTTCTACTAGTATTAGTAAAGTAATTGTAAACAATACTTAATAATAAGAATTGGAAATAGATAATGTTTTCTCATTAGAATAAATTTTTGTTTTAATAATTTGTACTGGTTCTTTGACACTTATAAACTTTACTATCTATATATTTTACTTAATCAAAGATTGCTAAAACTAGAAAGATATCATTATTGAAAAAAGTAATTTGAATCCCCCATTTCATTAGGATTAAAAGACTCTAATGTATTAGGGAAATTCTATTGTTTTCAAAGAAAAATTTAAAGTAATAATCAAATATATTAATAGGAAATCCATTAAACAGTCTCATTATTTTATTATAGCGACTAAGACATTCAACTTAGTTATAGAATTTTAGAAGTATGCTCTTAATTCAATTTGTTATTATCTTTAACAATTCTTGAATGTTCTAATTAAACCAATTAAATTCATTTCATTTTCCTATTCATAATGATAAATCCAATTATAATTTTGATATTAAGAATATTTTATAAGATAATTGAAGCTATTTATAGATTCAGAAGAATCGCTGCTTTTATTAGTAACTTTATTCTAATAATGTTATTAATGGCACCCAATCTTATCTTACTAATATTTTTCAAATTAAGGTATTTTAATCTACTATTTTAGAATATAAATTTAATAAGAATAATATATGGTTGCTATAATCTTTTTTGGTAACATTTTAATATCACAAATCCTTATAGAACCGATTACAGTTTTTGTTAGAATCATTTTTTATAGATTGATAACAACGAGTATTAAAAATATGGATATGAATCCCATCTATCATTTAATGCACTTTTTTGTAATGCATAGTAGTTTAGAAGAAATATTTGAAGAGTTTACAAGAATGTGACATTATACATTTATTAACATATTATATATTAATTCAAATTTAATTTCCTTCTAAAAATAAGTTAATTAGCATATGACTAGTTTTTGAGTAATGACTTTAAATTAACGAATTTTGTACGAATTTCAATGAAAATGGTAGTATTTTAAAATTGGCTCTAGATTTGATAAACCTTTTGAATATTAGGTCAGTTAAGTGTATTTCCAATTTGATAATGTTTCCACATCCCAAAATTTTATTTTTTAGCACTAATCTTTTATCTAATCTATATTTGGCTATTTCATAAGCAATATTAATCTTTTTTTATTTATCTAATTTAGGATTGTTTGAGCCTTTTATTAGAATAAGTAATTCTTTTAGCTTTTCATAAATAAATAATAGTTCCCCAAATTTTTTCATCAGAAGGAAATTTAATAAGTAATTAGCTTACTTTTTGAAGTTTAAAATTTTCTAGTTAATGCTCATTTATTTGAATTAGAATTAGACCTATTTAGAGATGAAAAAATTTCAAGAATCTGATCTGAACTTATAATAGGGGTTGCTTCGTAAAAAGAATCACTACTTTCAAATTTAAAGTTACTATTAACTTAAAAAGTTGAACTAGAATAGGTAATAAAAATAATATAATAAAAATTTTGACTATGGTGGAAAAACTTATTGATATTATGCATCATAACTTTAATAGACCTAAAGTACTCGATATCACAATCATCAAAGAACAACATAATTGTATTATTGTCAAAAAATTCTATTTCTTAGATTTTGGCTTACATATAACAAAGAAGATGAATTACTTCAAAAATTCAGTAATAATCAATCATAATTCCCTCAACTAACATAATCATTTGATGCAATCTATCACTTTTGCTCATAAAGACAGTATGATACCTAGAAATACATTGTAAAGAAAAAATAGAGAGTAGATGAAAATATACTTGAAATTGTAAATAAGGTTACTTATATTTAATGTTCGCACTAAATATCAAAGGATTTATGGCAAAGTTTCATATCAAAATTATTTATTAACTGTTATTANNNNAGCTATTTATAGATTCAGAAGAATCGCTGCTTTTATTAGTAACTTTATTCTAATAATGTTATTAATGGCACCCAATCTTATCTTACTAATATTTTTCAAATTAAGGTATTTTAATCTACTATTTTAGAATATAAATTTAATAAGAATAATATATGGTTGCTATAATCTTTTTTGGTAACATTTTAATATCACAAATCCTTATAGAACCGATTACAGTTTTTGTTAGAATCATTTTTTATAGATTGATAACAACGAGTATTAAAAATATGGATATGAATCCCATCTATCATTTAATGCACTTTTTTGTAATGCATAGTAGTTTAGAAGAAATATTTGAAGAGTTTACAAGAATGTGACATTATACATTTATTAACATATTATATATTAATTCAAATTTAATTTCCTTCTAAAAATAAGTTAATTAGCATATGACTAGTTTTTGAGTAATGACTTTAAATTAACGAATTTTGTACGAATTTCAATGAAAATGGTAGTATTTTAAAATTGGCTCTAGATTTGATAAACCTTTTGAATATTAGGTCAGTTAAGTGTATTTCCAATTTGATAATGTTTCCACATCCCAAAATTTTATTTTTTAGCACTAATCTTTTATCTAATCTATATTTGGCTATTTCATAAGCAATATTAATCTTTTTTTATTTATCTAATTTAGGATTGTTTGAGCCTTTTATTAGAATAAGTAATTCTTTTAGCTTTTCATAAATAAATAATAGTTCCCCAAATTTTTTCATCAGAAGGAAATTTAATAAGTAATTAGCTTACTTTTTGAAGTTTAAAATTTTCTAGTTAATGCTCATTTATTTGAATTAGAATTAGACCTATTTAGAGATGAAAAAATTTCAAGAATCTGATCTGAACTTATAATAGGGGTTGCTTCGTAAAAAGAATCACTACTTTCAAATTTAAAGTTACTATTAACTTAAAAAGTTGAACTAGAATAGGTAATAAAAATAATATAATAAAAATTTTGACTATGGTGGAAAAACTTATTGATATTATGCATCATAACTTTAATAGACCTAAAGTACTCGATATCACAATCATCAAAGAACAACATAATTGTATTATTGTCAAAAAATTCTATTTCTTAGATTTTGGCTTACATATAACAAAGAAGATGAATTACTTCAAAAATTCAGTAATAATCAATCATAATTCCCTCAACTAACATAATCATTTGATGCAATCTATCACTTTTGCTCATAAAGACAGTATGATACCTAGAAATACATTGTAAAGAAAAAATAGAGAGTAGATGAAAATATACTTGAAATTGTAAATAAGGTTACTTATATTTAATGTTCGCACTAAATATCAAAGGATTTATGGCAAAGTTTCATATCAAAATTATTTATTAACTGTTATTAAAAGTAAGCACCTAATGCCCAATATAAAGCTTAAAAGCAATTTAGTTCCAAATTCTAAACTCCATAATAATCCCTTAAAAAATAATATAAAATCAGCAAATTCAGAAAAGGTTTTAAGCATAATCATAAGCAACTATCCTAGAAGTAATCAAAAACTAATTTGAATGAAGAAAAATATCTGAATTTCATAATTAGTTTATATATATAATTATTTAATTGTGAAATAGATGGAATTAGTAAAGAGAGGATTTTAAGTTTTGAAGTAGATTCACAGCAAATTAATTCATAAATATTATCAACATCTATACAGAAAGAGAAAATTAAGAACATTCTTGATGGGAGTAGGTAGATATAAAAGATTATAAAATTATCAGGGTCATTGTATTTATTGAGAAGATTGTCACAATTTGTAATGTTATTGACACCTTCAATTAGAAGAAATCTGCTTTATAGATATGGAGAAGAATCTTGGGCTGTAGTTACAGGAGGATCAGATGGGATTGGTAAAGAATTTTGTATTTAATTGGCAAAATAGAAATTCAATATTGCCATAATAGGTAGAAATGCCAATAAGATGGATTAAGTTTGTTTAGAATTATAAGGTTTTGGAGTTCAAACTAAATTTATTGTAGCTGATTTTAATAATGGATATGCAGTTGATTTTTATAATAAGATCTATGAATAGCTTGAGTATTTAGATATTTCAATTTTGGTCAATAATGTTGGAGCAGCAGAAGCTGGATAATTTGAACAAATGAAAATGGAAGATTCATTCATGATGTTTAGAGTAAATGCATTATCTACTCTAATGATGACTAGAATTTTAATCAATAAATTATAAAATAGAAATAAGAAATCTGCCGTGATTACGATTTCATCTGGATTAGCATATTTACCTAGTCCACTTGTTAGTGTATATAGTGGAACAAAAGCATTCACAAATTATTTTACTTAATCTTTGGCTTTAACATCAAAGAATACAGATTTTATGAGTGTGACTCCTTTGGGAGTAAGTACAAAGATGTTGGGAAATAGAAAAGGTTCTAATATTATTGAAACTAATGAATTTGTTAAAAATGTGATTAATGATTTAAGATAAGGCAAGACACACAGTTTCGGTTGTTATCAACACAAATAGTTTATCAATCATTTATTATGGAGAAACTAAAATTATAGGAATAAAGTAAAAATATAAATAGGGAATAATTTAATGAATTGTTAGATGTCAAAAGGTAATTAGAAAGAATGATAAAATGAAGGATATATATAATATAATAAAACAACATGATATATAAATATTTTATTTTTTATTCTAGTTTTTGTAATTCTAAAATCTGATTGGGGACAAGATAGAAATTCGCTAATTAATAAATGCTATTCAGATTGATCATTTTTGGATTAAGTCATTATTAATTATTCCAAAACGCTGACAAGTATGTATTTCTAAATATATTCTTGAACTTAAATGTATTTGAAATTTAAGCCTTTTTAATTTAATACTAAATTGGCTTATTTTTATCACCATAACGTACCCTGTTGATCGTTAAATTACTTAAGAATACTATTTTAATACTTTTCTACCTATTCTTGCTTTTTCGATTTTATTTGTTGTTTATATGTTAGCGAGATTAGAATCTTAAAACTTGATATAACCTTTCTTTATCTTTGCATCAAATGAGAATCACTTAAATTTATCATGACCAAATTTAATCTTCTGATATTTATTTAAATAATTCACCATTTAACTTTATTGCAAACTGGATATATAATAATTGTATAAGTAAGGATTCTAGTTTTTTCTTACTTTTGGATTAATTTATATAATTATGTTGAGATAGAAAGAGTCTTCTTATATTTGAAAATAATATTTATTTTTATTAATCAATTATTTAATTGTAATAAATGCAATTATTAATAATTAATTTATTAGATAATAGATGGAATTAGCTTTTATCTTGACTTAGTTTGAATAACTTCCAAAATAGTAATATTATTTACTATTTATAAATAAATTGATATTGTTTAAGAATAGTAAAATATAATTATAATAAATTAACATAAAAAGTAATAATAATAATATTGAATTTGAGAACTAGTATATCAATATGAAGAGATGGAATATTTAAAATGAAAAGAATAATTACAATATTAAATAATGAATTCAATTGTTGCATACTTATGTTTTATAATAATAATGTTTTTGCATAACAATAATAAATTTTAATTATTGGATGTATAGTATTTAAATAATTAAAATTAACATCTAATTAATAGAAATATAATAAATGAATAGATTAATAATAACAGATTTTTAGATAAAATAATTATTCACTATGGAATATATTTCAAAAAGAAGATAAAAATAGTAATTGATAGAATAGAGAAGAGAAAAATTATCAGTTTAAATAAATGCTCTTGTATTGGGATGTAATAAGAGTCATCAAGTCATTATATTGTTTAAGAATAAGTAATAAGATATTCAAGAGAATTTGATAAATGTGAATTATTTAGTTAAATTTTATATAGTTATTAAAACAATTAAAATGAAACAGACAAGAGTTTAATCTGCTGCTACTAATTCTCGTCTACGAGATAATCATTATGATCCTAAAGTGCATACAAAGGCTTGGATTGCACCAGGTAGATGTTGAAATTAAAATTAGGAATATTCAATTAATTACCTAAATATGAACATTTAGATTCTGGTCTAGTTGTCATTAATTAGAAAAATAACAAAATGAAATAGTTTAAGGAATTCTCAGAATTAAACTAAGAGATTTAGTAGATGCAAGAGAAGGATGAATTTAGAAAGTTTAAGGAGTTTGAAAATCTATATAATGGAGATTTAGTTGTGACAATTGAATATTGGTATACATTTGAGTAACAGTCGATAGTACAAATTGTTCTTAGCATGCAGGATCAACTAGACATGACGAAGAGAAATATTATACATTCGCCACCAATTTAAAATAGGAACTTATTTAGTAATATCCAACAGCTAAGGTTTATTTGAAACCATTGATCTACGATCCACATGATTATTCAATAGATACTCTCTATATTCAAAGGAGAATTGGAGCATTTGAAGTATAAGTCTGTTCTAAGAATGGAGATCAATTCAAAAAAGGTTTAGTATTTTCAAAGTTGAATACTAAAATGTGGCCTAATTATACAGAAGTCATAGAAAGAGTCAGTGATTATTTAAATACTGCTCCATTAGAAATTTATGTCAGTTTTGGTGAAAATATAACAGGGAATCTTAATAACATAGAAGTAACTTTGACTCCTCATAGGCAAGATAGACCATAATCAAGTGTCTCAAGGATATCTTCATAAACTAAAAGAACAAATAGAACTACTACAAAAGAAAGAAAAATCAAAGCTAAAACAAATAATCAAGGATATATCAAATTATAAGATGTTCCTGTTGATGTCTATGTTGTAGAAGTGCAAGAATCAAATGATTATCTTAATGAATAATTACTATTGAATATGATAGAAATGGCTGAATAAAATAATGATACAATACAGGTTGTTATTAAATTAAAAAAATAAACTCATTCATATTTGGATATTAAGATATTTAATTAATAGGGTTCTGGTTTAAGTGAAGCTAAAATTACTATAACAAATCTTCAAACTCAAGAAAGTATGTTATCAAGAGAAATTGAATCTGGTAGATATGAAGCAATCATAGAACCTAATTAGTATACCTTAACTGTCTAAAAGAGAGGATACAAAGAATTATCTTAGAATTTTGATGCAGTATAAGGAGTCAATGAATTTAAATTAATCCTGGAGGTAGATCCTAATGATTAATAATTAATAAAACCCCCTTAATCAGCAAAATAATTATAACCAATATAAAAACCAAGTAGTGCCCGTCCAACAAGCGCTTAAAGATCATAATAAGGTAGTAATACAAATCAATCTTAATAATAAATGAATAAATAATAATAATAATAATAATAATAATAATAATAATAATAATAATAGTTACCACCAAAACCAAGATCTTAATAATAGTCTATTTAATCTTATGAATAACCTGAATATATGGAACCAACTAAATAAGAAGCTATTTCAAATCCTAATAGACCTATTTCAGGTTATAAATCTAAATAAGTGTTTATTTATGATCCATACACTAATTTACCAATCGAAGGAGTTCAAGTCATTTTAAATGAAGAATCTACAAAACAAGCATAAACTTATGTAACTGATTAAGAAGGAACTTGCAGAATTATAGTATAAGGAGTCTTGGAAGGCAAAATGGTGATTTAAACGTATTATTATATTATTTATTGTTTTTAGTGAAGGATATTTCCCTATAGTTGAAGAATATGGGACTACTTAATCTAAAATGAATTTATATTAATTGAGAGAATTGTCATTTCCTTTGATTCAACATCTGGAAGACAAGAATTCAGTTATGATTCTAGTTCAAACAAATGTTGAAGTGATGCCAATTGACATCAAGATGATTCTACCTGATAATGTTTAGATTGATTAGAGTCATTAAAATGTACTCTATGATTTGAATGATGAATCTGGTTGTTAAAGAATAATAGTACATGATCTTAATACAAAGAGAGGAGTCTATAGAATAATTGCAGATATCATTGAACCTGATTATGTACATCCACAACATTTAAAAGTGTACATAATAACTAATAAAGAATTGAAATTAGTTGATGTACCTAAAACTATTAATTAAGAATAAATCTATTGGGATATTGGTGTAATTTGTGGTAATTTATTTATTCATTTAATAATTAGCTCCCAATTCTGGATTTCTAGAAATTAACACTCCAACTGATGAAATTTTGAAGAGAGATAAATATCTTAAGGATTATCAGAGTTTATTGCAATTCATAAAGAATTCTAAAAATATGGATTTAAAAACTATCTTAGGATTTAATGATAAAGAAAGACTTGAATTATAAGGAGATGTCTTTGTGTAGAAGGATAAGATTAAGGCTACTCTAGATAAATATGGGTTTGAATCAATCACTAATCTTGATTATTTGATATAATCAGCTATGATGTCTAATGGATTGTACAGTTTTAAAAGACTGGAATAGAAATTTGGTAATCTAGATTTTGAATTCATATTTGATGATGAGAATTCAACTAGTAAATAAAAGGAAATGAGTGAGGATGAACCTTATGATGATGATTATGATATATGAAATTATAATTAAATTAAAATGACTGATAAATTATATTTATTATGATTCCAAAGAGATCTATAAAGATTAGTTAATCTGTTATCATTAAATAAAACTCATTATAAATGATTACAGAATAATTAATAATATAAAATTTAATTTAATTATATAGACTTTAACCTGTAATATTATTGAACTTGAATAAAGAATTATGTATTAAATTAAATACAAAGAGAAAGTATTATCATAATCTGGAAAGTAAATCCCTTATCATGGCAAGATAGGATTGATATTATTGCTATTATGGAAAAAATTATAAAATATATAGACATGTAAACAATAGTATCATATCATTTAAAGTATTGAAGAGAAAAAATGATTGCTATCGAAGCAAGAAAATTCTTATTGAAATTGAATTTAGAAGTCACAAAATTAGATATTAATAAGCTGGAATTAGAATATAGGTTTTAACATGAGATTAGATAGAAACTACTATTCTTTTAAATTAATCTAAATTATATAGCTAGTAGTAAAAATGTATATTAGACAATTTGATGAATTACTTATGATAAAACATCTTGGTTTTATCCTTAATTTTCTTATGGAATCACATTGATGTATTAGTCCTTATATCTAATTAGCTTTCATTATCAAGAGGGATCAAAGTAAGGCTATAATTTTAGAATATTTTGATTTAAGTATTATAAATATTTTGGTTGGTATCTATTATTCGATTGTTTCTTAATTTAGTATTAATTTATCATCTATTTTTATAATCTCATATTTCCTTTTTAGTTATATATCTAGGATTCTTAAAGTATAGTTTAATACTACGTATTTCAAAATAAGTAACATTTTATTATAAAGATGGGGCTAATTATTCAATTAGGAATTCGAATTTAAAAAATATAGTTTGAACATATTAGAAGAAATCCATCTTATTTACTAAGACAGAAAAACTTTAATATATATTTTGATGATTATATTGTTTTTAGTATTGTATTTAAATTAATTCAATTCAAATTCTTGGTTATTATCTTATAATGACATTTAATCTTGCATTTTCATCAATATAATAATTTAATTAATTCTTCAAATTCTCTATCAAATACATATTCTTTTATTCATAAACTAAACCCTATTATAAACGAGAAGACTCTTCAGAAATCTATTTCAATTCATTCTTTAATTAATCTGTCTCTTATTCATATTTTATTTACTATTATTCTAACTATTTCTTTAATTCATACTCCTTTTGTATCACACTATGTAATCTATCATTTTCCATACAAAGAATTACATATCTCTATTATAATTGTTATAATGGCATCAATTATTATTAAGTTTACAATTTAAGTTTTAATGAATCAACCTCAAATTTTAATTATGTAACTTATTATTATGATTAACTTAAATTTTGACTAGTTGCATGTATTTATTAAGTTTTATGTGTTATTTCATCTTATAACTCTTTATTAAATTTATCTATAATCTAATATTATTGATCTTTTTATTAAGTCATAAATTACACCTTCTAATTAATTGTATTTAAAGTATTTCTTATTTCTTAATTCTCCAAATTCTTTTCCTCCAAAATTGCCTTGAATTTAAAAATCTCTTAGTCTTTTATTTATAATTACTATCTGAGCAATTAAGTTTCATCCTGATTTTGATTTTAAGAGTGACATTATGATTCCAATTAATGTTACAAATCTTTAATTATTTCTTATTTTATTTTAATTTCTTTCAATTATTATTCAGATACTTTGGATATCTATTCTAATTCATTTATCAATCGTAATTGATCTTAATACATTTTATCATAGCTGTGTTTAAGATTCTCATAATCGAATGCTTATTAATTAATCTGATCTTTCATTTTTTAATTGTGCTATATTAATATTTTTATTTCTTTCTCTGAATCATTTGTATTCTATCTTATTTATTAATTCTCATTTCCTTACGAAAATTAATGTTATAAAGGACTAAAATGCTATTAAGTTGATGGACTTATTCTTAAAGGTGAAAAAATATTTTCTTTTCTATGCATTAAAGGTATCATCTATTGAGATGGCTAAAAGACTTATCTTTTCTCAATTGGGGCTGTGAATTGCATTTCTGTTAAATATTTTAATCTTAAAATATAATATAAATTAGAATATTTAATAATTATTATTTTATAATATATCCACAAATCGATATCCATCTATCTTTAAATCAAATAATAAATAACTATATATGAAGTTTTAATCAAGTAATCAAATTTAATGATCAAAATTAAATATAATGTATAAATTTAATAAGATAATTCTAATAAATAATTTATCTCATAAGTAGAATGATAAGTTTTAAATATTTTAATATATGTATATATTAAATTAATTATGTGTTGCAATTATAACAATTAATAGATTAAAAAATGTTTTTTATGTTGAATTTATTATTTATAAATATCATTAAATAGTAAAATTCTACTAGAGCTATCTTATTTGAATTTGTTCTGATTCTTCATCCCATATTAACAGAAATTCTCCATCATTGCTCAAAGTTCCATTAATACATTTATTTTGGAACTCTATAGTTTATTCCCATTTATAACTTAAATTATTGTTTGATAGAGAAGGTGTGATTCTTAATATATTAACAAACCACGCATTTTTTATAACTAATAAATTCAAAGATTTAATATATACTGATGGAAAATAATGATAACAAAATTCTCTTTTTCCTTTTACAGGGATTTAACATAATTGTTGATATTATTGTTTAGAAGAATTGAAATAATATATGTATAGATGAGTACCATCATAAAGACTATGTGGCTGAAATAAAAACATACTATTTGTAATGTATGATAAACGATATCCATAATAATGCAGTTGAATTTTTTATTTAATAAACCATAATGTTTAATTAGATCCTTCAATTATAAAAATTGATTTATCTTAACTACAAGATATTAATTAAGTTCCATCTGTGTTGGTAATTAAAGAAATGACTGGTTTATTATGTTCAGATATTGTCTATTTACAATACCATTGTGTTTTTATTGACCAAAATTTTATGCTATTATCTTCAGAACCTGTAATAATGAGATCTTCAAATATTGGATGAATGACCATAGACATGATTGAGTGAGAATGTCCATTTAATTTGCAAATGAATTTACTATTTGAAATTAGATTGTTATTCCAAATTATTAATGAAGGATGAAATTAAGCAGATATAAGAAATGGTTTAATTTTACAAAAATTTAAGAGTGATATATAATAACCTCTTATCTACATTATTTGAATTTAATTCATAAATCCTTTTTTAAAATTAAAAATTTTGATTTCACTATCTGTTCCAACAGCAACCAAAGTATTGATGTTATTTATTGCTAAAGTTACAAAAATTCCTTCTACTTTATAGAGAGATAACATTTGATAATTAATACGTCTACTTTAATTCTATTTTGAAATGTTGCATCCCATGTCTTATTATATTTATATTAATTACTCTAGTTGATTAGATTTTATTTAATTATTTAAAGAGTCACTCTTTCTTTATATCAATTCAATACAAATTTACAATTAATTTCAGCAACTTATAAAGTATTTTTCACTCTGTAGAACTTCATTAATATATCAATAATCAATAAATAAGTTTATTGATAAATTGATAATTATATAAGATCATTGAATAAATACATGTAGTCATAAAAAAATGAATAATCTTATAAGGTTACTTTATTAAATGATCATCTACTAATATTTCTATGATTTGATTAAGTGATGTACATATTTAATACAAAATCAAATATATGAATTTATCTGATTATTATTAATATTACAATTTTCAATCTTGAATAAATTTGGAATTTCTGAATAGCTTTTGGATTTCCAACAATATGCTTATTCTGATAGCAAAATTTTTGATGAGAAAATTTACCATACTATTTTTAAGTATATTAATAATCTAAATGCAGATAAAACAATATTAAAAATGTAATATTTTAAAGTTAGCATAAACAATATATGTTGTTTTATAATAAATTTATAATATTTTTATCAGCACTCATAGCAAAAGTTTTGCTTATATAAGAATAATGTATGTAAATATCTACTCATTATTACATTTTCTAATTAAAAAAAAGAATTCTTAAATTAAATTCCACCAAATCATTCTTTCTTCAACCATGATTTCTTAATATTCATTTTCTAAATAATATATAGTAAAAAATCCTGTGAAAATATTACTATTCATTCTAAATTTAAAAGTTGTTACTACTCACATTAGAATAATATTAAGCTTTGTTTCATTAATTGATACTCAATATGAGTAAAGAAACATAAATGAGGATTACCATAAATTGAGGAAGTTTACTAATATAGGACTCTTAATTCTTTTTATATATTTAATATAATTGTAAATAATTAAAACTTTAACTAAACTTTATTTGAATTTCATAGATTCTTAATGTAAGGTATTTTCTTATTAATTACATAAATCCATTTCAAATAATAAAAATTTCTAATGTTCATTTAATTTTTAACATAATTAATTCATTAATCAAACACAATACCATTTATTGTGTCAATATCAAATGAACATAAGATATTTGAATTTCACAAATTAATTAGCTAAGAAATTTTAGAGTTTGTTGATCCTTCTAATTCTATCTCATATATTACTTTTTCTAATTTAAAACCAGTAATTAATTTTCTTCAATTTTATAATATATTTATTAAAAACGAATACACTTTCACAAATAAGGAAATGAGACAATTAATATGATATATCCACAATCAAGGGAATTTAAGGTAACTTTGATTATGAAACTTTAAATTAAAAAATATTGAATTACAAATTATTTAATGATATCATTCTAATTGATATAATACATACCCCCTATTTCAAAATATGAATTATTTAAGGAGGTTCAGTAAATTTAATTTCTTATAATTAATATCCTTAAAATAATAAATAATGGAATAAGTCTTAAACACTTTGTTAACTCAATCACCTACGAAACAAATACAAATTGTTTTTATCAATAAAAACCTTTTGAATAGAAAGAATTCACTTTTCTAAATACAATTAAATTAATTATAAAAATGTCAAGTATTCAATGTTTATTATTGTTGATAGTAATCTTTAGAAATGTAGGGTGAACAATAGGCACTCAAATAATCATGTATTAAAAGATAACAAAAAAGTCCATTAATTAGAAAACAATATACTAAAGATCCATAGAATAAATAAATGCTTTCCATGACTTAATAACTACATTAGAAATTCATTTAATAAAAACAAAAGGAATTAGTTTAATTTCTTACTATATGTTTAACAATCCTGTCACTTATTGTGATGATTGTTGAATATCATTAATAAGAAAATTAAAGAAGATTCTATGATAATTGAATTTTTATAATATCAAAACTCTATTAATGTAATATTAATAACTTGATTAAATATTATAAACTGATATGTTATTCCTTCATACTACATAGTGATCACACTTCTCAACTAAAGAATATCTAATAGACCATGTAAATATATATGATTAAATATTAACTGTTTTTAATAAAAGAAAAATATTATAATATTGTTAATATTCATAATTATAAAACATGAATATTAAAAGTTGTAAATCTTGTAGAAAATTTTGAAAGATGAGAAAATATTTAAAAATTAAATACTTATATTTCAAAATATTATATTAAATAAATTTATTTTTTAATATAATTATAAATACAATTACAAAATTATTTAGAATTTATAATAAAGGATTAAACGGAATTGATGTTCTATTTAATCAACTTATTTAAATGGAAAACCATAATGGTTACAGTCATATGAAGATGTTTAGAAAAAAGCAACATTATAGATAAGCAGTTTGATTGAGTATCCAAAAGTAAATCAAAAAATAGTATTAATCAAAACTATTTTTTCTGTTCTATTTACTTAATGTTTATATCAACAGAAAAAAGAATAATATCTTTTAATAAATAGGTTTTTGTAATAGTATTTAAAGAAAATTTGTTTATTTTTATCGGAACCTAGAAACTTTTTGATATGAAACAATTGATTTATCATCTTTATCATATTTTTCAAACTAAAATCCATCGTGAATCTGATTAAAAAGAATGTTGTACCTTATTAAATAAAATTTTATGATTATTCAAATCTTTTTTCCTGTATATTAATTATAATCAAAGGGAATTTTTGATGTAAAACATTTAATTATTCATTGCTAATTATTGCTAGTTTATAATCGTTTATTATTAGTATTAATATTATTCAATAAGCTCAAATAGTTCTCTTTAAAAATTCAAAAAAAATCCTAGATTAAAGTTTAGATAATCTCATTATATTTTATTATAATATAACAAAAATAATCAATCTACTTATTTAATTTTGGACTCCATAATTATTTTCTCTCTTTTTTTTAAGTAACTTAAATAAAATTTAAATGATCATAAGAAATTTATCGAAAATTAATATTATAATTGCATTTTAATAATTTATTTTTTTACATATATCAGCATTTAAAGAATTATTCAGATAACCGTATATTTTAAAGTCTAAATTTTGATTATGTATACTTTTAATAAGAATGACTATAAACTCTCAA